GACACCACCAAGACCGTCCTCACGGGCACCAAGGACACCGTGTGCAGTGGTGTGACTGGTGCCATGAATGTCGCCAAAGGAGCTGCCCACACTGGCATGGACACATCAAAGGCCATCCTGACGGGCACCAAAGATGCAGTGTCCACTGGGCTCACCGGAGCAGGGAGTGTGGCCAAAGAGGCAGTGCAAACCGTCCAGAATTGGTTCCCCGGTACCCAGGACAGTGTCTGGAGTGGACTCACCAGTTACAGAGCCGCAGGCAATGGCGGGGAACAGGCCATCCTGAGACCCCAGGAGGCTCTGTCCTCTGGGTTATCCAGTGCCCCGGACACTCTCTGCACAAGCCTGGACCTTGCCAGGGAAGCCACTGCTGTGGCAACAGGCACCCACGGGGCCCCCCTGGGCAGGGAGAATGCAGGACACGAAGGAGCCATGAGCTTCGCGACTCTGCGGGACGAGCTGGGGGAGCTGGGGGAGATCTTCTGCCCCATGGATGCCGAGGAGCAAGGTGAGAACAGCGCAGCTGGGCCCACCTCCCAGCGGGGCTGGATTTCTGTAAAACCCAAGCCCTGGGTTCTCCGGGGACCTCTTGGATTGAGGAATCCCGTCTTCCTTTCCAGCTCAGCTTGCTGCCTCCGAACCTGGGCCAAAGGTGCTCACGGCTGACCGCGGCAGCTACTTCGTGCGTCTGGGCGACCTGGCTCCCCGCTTCCGGCAGCGGGCGTTCGAGCACGGCCTGAGCCACCTGCAGCACGGCCAATTCCAGGCCCGGGCTGCGCTGGCCCAGCTGGAGGAGTCCTTCGAGCTGGTAAGAGCCTCGCCCTCCCCACGGCCCCTTCTTCAGAATAGCTCCCCAGGTTCCCCCAGCCACGTGTGGAGACTGTGGCCGGGGATCTGGACGCACCGCTGACAGCTGCCACTCATGCTGGGGGGCGGGGGCGGCGCTGGGCTGCATGCAGATGGTGAGGGACCCCCAGCTCTGAGCACCTCCCGGTTCCCAAGGTCACAGGTTTAAGGTGTTCGGATATATTGGCCTCACTTACATGTGCAGTGAGGAGCCCGGGCATCCTGCCTCAGTCGGGATCCCTGGGATGTGCCCTTGCCACTGTGTGTTCAATTAGGGCCCCGGGTTCTCTGCTGAGCCACGGTTTGAAGACCACTGGTCTAATCCAGTGAGGTGTAGACGGGGATGATCAGGCCCCTGGGACGCTGGGCCATGTCTGGGGGCATCTGTAGCTGTCATGACTGCGAGCAAAGGTGCTTCTGGCTTCGAGGGGGCGGGGCCAGGGATGGTGCTCAGCCCCCACCCAGCGCTCAGGGACAGAGGACCGGCCTGACCCAACAGAGGTTTTTGTTAGAGGGTCACTGTGGCTACTTAAGGGAGAACAGGCTGGACCTGGGAGGTCAGTGAGGTTTTCACAAAAATCCTGGCAAATGACACGATGGGGCCTCAGGGCTAGTGTCCGTGACAGCGAGAGGCACCCGTGTCCCAGATGTGCCTCTAGAGCAGGGCTGCCACGGTCTGTGGGCGGGCTAGATGTGGGGCTCAAGAAAGAGGGACCCTAAAGCACCTCAGAGATTTTTTAAAAAGTTTTTTTTTTTTTTTTAAAGATTTTATTTATTTATTTGACAGACAGAAATCACAAGTAGGCAGAGAGGCAGGCAGAGAGAGAGAGGAGGAAGCAGGCTCCCTGCCGAGCAGAGAGCCTGATGTGGGGCTCGATCCCAGGACCCTGGGATCATGACCTGAGCCGAAGGCAGAGGCTTTAACCCACTGAGCCACCCAGGCGCCCTTAAAAAGTTTTTTAAAGTATCTTATTTAAGTAGCATCTACACCCAACATGGGGCTCGAACTCATCCCCAGGATCAAGAGCCACACACTCCACCAACTGAGCCAGCCAGGCACTGTGTGTGGGAGATTTTTAGTAGGGGACCCCAGGGGGTGCCAAGTGGGTTGGGAGTGAACAGTGAGAGCTTGGTTTTAGACGGGGGAACCTGGAAGTGACTAGCGGCCCCAGATGGGAGTCGCGGCAAGGTGTGCTAGGAGGGCTACCACAAGTTAGGAGTCCACACCTGGCCCATGTGCTGTCCTCCCACGAGCTGCTGGGACAATGAGGATGGGTCAGCTAACTGGTGGTGGGGCTGGGGAGGCTCCTATGTGCCAGGGACCCAACGATCAAGGAAGAAAAGCTACCAAAAGAGCTTCATCTCCACCCAGGGGAGAGATAAAACAGCAAACAAGCAAACATCTGTGATAACTCGACAGTTACGTGCCTCTAAGGAGACTAATGAAATCTGACAAGGAGGGACTAGGGCCACTGCACTGGGTGGCTGGGGAAGGTCTTATCTGGAGGACAACCTAGAGCCGAGATTGGATGGGCACCACATGAAAGGCCAGAGGAAGCATGCTCCAGGCTGAGCAGGCAGCATGTGCAAAGGCCCTGAGGCCAACAGCATGCTGGAAGTGGTTAGAGGACAAAATGAGGCCAGCATGTCCAGAGCAGAGTGTGACAAAATGTCAGCAGGAGACATGGTCTGGGAAGTCCCAAGGAACAATGCAGGCCATGGTGAAGAGCTGGATTTTATCCAAAGGGCACTGGGGAGCCAGGGGAGGGTTTTGAGGTGGGAAGTGACAGTTTGTTATTTGGTCTCTGACAAGCTCAGAGAATAGCGACTATTGCCCATTCCTGGCTCTAAACTTGTGGCTTTTCCACCATGCCATGGAAAGGTCTAGACACGAGGCTCCAGGGCCAGCCCCAGGAATGTCCCCAGGGGAGAGTGTGTGAAAGGACCCTGCTGAGAAGCCATAATTCCTCTGCTGGACTCTTTCTAGATTGAGAAAGCCAAGCAGGCTCCAGAAGGCCAGTCATGGGTGGACCAGGGGCTGAGCAGCAGAGTGGAGGAAGGTGCTCCGCAAGAGGTATGTAAGAAAGGGGCATGGCCCCCGCTCTTCTTCAACCCCTACTTACCTCACCCCTACCTCCCCCGCAGGTGCTGGACTCCAGGGCTCTGTCCAGGGCCTGCGGCCTCATCCAGCAGCTGCACGTGGCCTACAGCACCCTGGCCTCCAGCCTCCAGGGCCTCCCCTCTGAGCTCCAGCAGCAGGTTGGGCGGGCGCGCCACGGCCTCTGTGAGCTCTATGGCCTCGTCTCCTCGGCCGGTTCCATGGGAGAGCTGCCGGCAGAGCGCCTGGCCCAGAGCCGCGGGGCGGTGGGCCAAGCCTGGCGGGAGCTGGAGCAGATGCTGGAGAGTGTGCAGCACGGCCCGCCGCTCTGCTGGCTCGTGGGGCCCTTTGCCCTGCACCCCACTGGGCAGCAGCTGTAGGTCCCTCCTGCCCACAGAGCCCTCTGTAGAGCCTTCTCCCCAGCCCCAAACCAGCTCCAACTCCCCGAAGGTCTGGACTCTGCCAGCTGGTGCTGCTTGGCACCCACGGGAGCACGGAGGACTTTTGAGTCTGGCCATGCCACGCACCCAGCTCTGGCCCCGCCTATGCCGTCCACCCTTTCTTCCCAAGCACCACTGGGCCTTCTCCTGGCCTAGGCGCCCCGGGCTGCGCAGACGGCTGACAGAGGGCCTTCCCCTGACGGTCTCAAGCAAGCTCTCCAATTAGGAGGAGAAGTGGAAACATCCCTAGGTCCAGAAGGTTCTCCACTCAGCAGCCTCCACTAGCCTCCCTTTATCTCTGGGGCACCCCAACCTGGGTCCTTTAGCTACCGGTGTAGCTGGTGCTCCTCCACCCTGGGCTCCCAGAGCCCCATCCTCACTCCAGAAGCACACACCCGGCCCTCAGCAAACCGTGTTCCACGTACCAGAAGGAACCAGAATGCTACTGTCACCTGCGCAGGCTCCTACCGTCTCTGCTGACGTCCAGTGCGGCCAAGGGGCTCTGAGAGGGTGAAGCCACAGCAGCCGCAACAGCCGCGCTGGCCCGGATGGGGGACCGGACTGGGCCTCGGCCCACCCCCAGAGCTGATGTTTTGTGGTCCCCAAGGCCCTGGGCTGAGGAAGAAGTGAGAGGGCTCCCCCGTGGGGGATGGGGCCCTGGGGGTATATGACAAAATGTGCTCAACGCGGTCCCACGCCCACCCCAGGCTGAAGAACAGGGGCCGGGAAGCATGCAGGGTCCCCTCCTTCCCGGCCACACTGTCCCTAAATGCCCAGGGCAGCCACGCAAGGTGGGTGGCACGTGGGGAAGCTGAGGCTCCCCTTCACTGGGCCTCCCCTGTCCTCCAGCTGGGGGGAGCCCAGCCAAGCAAGCCCCCGCTTCCCGGAACCTGTATCAAACCTACAACCCCCCATCAGGCTCCCTCCCTCCCTCAAGGAAGGCTTGAGGCGCCTCATACCAGCCCCTTCTCAGAAACAATGGGGTGTTCCAAGCTCAGGACATGAGGCCAGCCTTCCCCAAAGGGTCACTGTTGGCTCCCAGCCATGGTGAGACCTGTGTGACGGGTCATGAAGCCCCTCGGGCCTGACCCTCCTCAGTCTCCGTCACAGGCAGAGGCGCTGGGCGCACAGCCATCCGTGCAAACTGAGCCGTCGCTGGAGCTTCAACCCAGCCAGCACACACAGAGGGCCGCCAGGCTCTGAAGTCCCACACCCACCACGGCCTTGGCTGAGACGGAGGCACCTGACCGGGGCTGGGCGGACACACAGTAGACGCCGCTGCTGATGCAGGTGCCTGGCCCGGGACTGTACACACTGTCCAAATCCCTGTGCCGGCCCTGGGAGCCTGGGGTCACTTTACAGGTGAGGAACGAGAAGCCCAGAGCGGGAGGGACACTTGTCCAAGGTCACGGAACAAGGCCTGCCCCCCAACGCTTACACCCTCTGAACATCAAGGACAACGGCTAGCCCACAGCAACCCCCGAACCCTGAATGGCTTCAGCGCCCCAAGCGGCTTCTGCGGGGGACCCGGGTCTCACTGGCAGCCCGGCTAGGAGCAGGAACGGGGAGCAAGGCCCTGCGAGAGTGTCTGGGCCCTGGGCTGCCGCACGCGAGAATCAGACCACAGCCTCTGCCTGAACCTTCGTTACGTTTAAAACGGCCTCCCACCTCCCCTCTCCTTCACCGCCGGCCCTGCAGGCCCATGCCGGGCAGGGACAGTGTCAGAACCGAGTTCACATTTGCTGTGAACAGTGACTTTGTGGCTTAAACCTTCTGTCCCTGGACAGCTGCACCAGCAACCCCAGAAAACCGAACCAATAAAAATGACTTTCATTAAAAAAACCCTTTATAGTCATTTCATGTTTGTTGGAAATCACAGAAGTTAGGCAGAAAAACAACCCAGGGAACAGATACAAAGGGACAGCATGGTGCTTCCCCAACAGGTCTCTGCTCCGTGGGTGGTGGGCGGGGGCCGGGGCAGGCCTGGGGCATCTACGTGCGACGGGTAGGCCTGGCCACCAGGGCTCAGCTGTCCTCCTCATCCAGGGACTCCGAGTCCATCCTCCCCCTCGCGCGCTCCTGCCGCTCCTTCCCAGGCACGTCCAGCTCGGGGCCCTCCCGTGCGCTGCTGGTGGGAGCACATGTGGGTGGGGGTGAGCACTCGGGCCTTCCACTGCCAGTGGAGACCCAGCGCCCAGGAGTGCAGCCCGCAGCCGGAACCCCCCAACGCTGCCCCAGCCGGACCCCTGCCAGGCCCTGCCAGGCCCAGGCAGGCCCAGGGTCCTTAGCACGGCGACGTCAGCGTCAAGCAGCCCGCTGCGCCCGCTCCTACAGCACCAGGAGGAAGCCAGCCTCCCAGGGGCTGGGCCCAGAGCCGCTCAGAGCTGCGGAGCTCCCTCGATGGGGCACCTGAGGGTCAGCGCCAAAGGTGGGGGTGGGAGGCCGGCATGTGGGACAAGTCCCTGCGGCGGCATCACCAGAACAAGCAGCCCACAGAGCAGAGGCCTCGTCAGGAGGACGGCTGCAGCTGTGGCGATACTCACTCGCTGTGTAATGGCTCTTCGGAGGAGCCACACCCCGGCCCCTCCTCGGAATTCTGTCCTTCCTCCTGCTCCTTGTCTTCCATGCTCTCCCCCTTCTGGGACATGGCCTCGCCGTTCACTGGGGCTGAGAGATCTGGCGGGAGAGAGGCTCATGCGATCCTGTAGCCCCGCCCGCTGGTTTGGGGCCAGGAGCCCTAAAGGAGCCGCCACCTGCCTCAAGGGCTCTGGTCCTCTGCACCCACATCCCCCCACCCCTATGCCTCCCAGTCAGCCAGGCACACAAAAGCCTAAAGAGGGAGGAGCCAGTTAATGAGTGGCCATGGGTAATGGGGGAGAAGCCTGCGTGACAGAAATAAGGCGGTGTCCCCTGCAGGCCGTCCCCCCGGCTGCTGAGGCTTCAGCTGAACACCTCTCGCAGCTCCGTGGGCATCACATGACCCCAGGAGGAAGGACCACCCTCCCGTTAGACAGGGACCAGGGCCACTGACCCTGTGGGAAACACCCTCTTTCTCCAACCCCAGGCCTGTCCCAGCAGCGCTCCCGCACGTGGCCTGCACACACGTACCCAGCCTCCCATGCTGTCTGGCTCTGAGCGTCTATGAGCAGCTCAGGTACGTGCACGCACCAGGCCCCGGAGACCTTGGGGACACAGCCAGGCATGCAGAGTGCCAGCAGAAACATGCCACTTTGGCCGTGGGGGTTGGTGCCAAGTGGCGCCTGAGGCCCAGGGAAGTCCTACCCTGCTCACCAGTGCTCGCTTCGACCTCCGCCCTCTCCGTGGGAGCCTCCTCTCCGGCCAGCACCTCCTCGGCCTTCTCCACCTCGGCCCTCTCCTTCTCCAGCCCGGCTCTGGTCGCCTTCTGGATGGCCTCAATCTTTGGTCCCAGGACCCGAGACTTGAGCCGGGTGTAGACCTCTGCAGCCTTCTCCATCACCTCCTTGTTGGCCTTGTAACGGCGGATCTGGCCCGCAAGAGGCCTGGCTCAGGAGATGCGGCTGGTTTCACCCCCGCCACAGACCCGCCCCTGGCGCGGCCCCCCTGGCAGCACCGGCTCTCTGGCCCGCCAGCACCCTGGCGTCCTCCCGGAGCGAGGGCTGCCGCGGCTGGGAACCCAGGCTCCCTGGGCAGACAGACCCCTGCCACGCCTGCCACCAGCCCCTTCTACTGCTGGGTTCCCATGTACCTTCTTCAGTGTGGCCACCACATCTGTGTTCTTCTGGAGGATCTGTGAGGTCACCTGCAGGGTCCCTAGCTCCTCTAACGCATTCAGACACCTCTTCACGTCCTGCAGGGTGGGGAGGGGAGTAAGGAGGGATAGCATCTAGCTGAAGGGACCCTGGGGGCCCCGTGGGGCTCCCTGGGCGGAGGACGGAGTGCCAAGGGAACCCCAGGGACGGCGGTCGGGTCGCACCACCTGGTGGTCATGCCACGCAGTGCACCCGAGGTGGCCAACCCAGGCCCTCTGTGGCCGACACCCAGGAGAACAATGACCCTGGATTTGCCTCAGTTTCCTGAGACTTCTAAGGGAGCTCCAGACAGGAGGGTCGGGTTGGGGGGGCTGCTTGGCTCAGAGGAAGTGGCTGCGATGTGGCCTCAGTGCCGCAACGAGGGCCTCACCGGATTGTCCACTTTCAGGGCGAACTTGATCTCACTGTGCAGCTTCTGCAGCTTCTCCTCCACGGAAGGTTCTGGAACCAGGAGAGAATGCAGCACCTGGGCCTGAGCAGCGCCGAAGGGGCCGCCTGGCCTGGCCCCCTACACCTGACCGAGTCCCTCGACCCCTTCGTCAGAGCTGGCTGGGGACCTGCCCCAGCACCGTGCTCCTCGTTGGCTTAGCCTCCCGCCAGCGACCTGCCCCTCACCTTTCTTCTTCTCCACCTTCCGGTCGGGCGGGAACCCTTCTGACCGCTTCCGGGTTCGCTCCACCTTCGCAGGCCTGTGGAGTCACACCCCTTAGTCCCGCCCTGGACCGCCAACCAGCCACCCGACCCCGGCCGCTGCCGTCTCCCGACTGTGCGGTGGGGAACCCGCAGCCACTGGGAAGGAGACCCTCAGGGGGCCCTGGGAGCTGGAGGGAGAGGAGGTAAGGCCTGTTGTGATCTGGTCTAGGCAGTCAGCTGAAGTGACCAGGGATGGCGGCCAGGGATTCCTCTGCTTCTAGCCGGCAAACGATATCAAGTTTCATCACTTGTTCATCACTATGAACATACCACTGAGAATAAACGGGGACTTAACAGAAACCCAAGTGAACAAATTGTGGAAGGGGCCCAATCTGACACCCGTCAATGACCGAAGGCCCGTTGCCACGGCTCGGATGCGACCTTCTACTTGGCAGAAGCTGCCAAATTCCCACAGGCAGGTCCCCTCACTGATGCTGGAATCTCACCTGGCCAGCAGCGGGAAGAGGGGCTGCGTCCCCTGCCCTGGTGGGACTTGGAGGAGTCTCAGAACCACAGGTCTGGGGAACGATCCCTCCCCTCAGCACTGTTGATATCAGGTGGATCATCTCTGGCGGGTGCCCTGGCTCCCCCACCCCGATGCCAGAGCACCCTCAGTGTGACGACCACAGATACGGCGTGGTGCCGCTCGGGGCAGGATCACGGTCCTGGAGCACTGGCTCCTATGTGAGCCGATGGAGCCCCAAGAATGGGACACTCGGATCAGATCAATCTCCAAGGCTGAATTCGGAAATCGGAATTGGAAACGCTGCTCCCGTAGGGGTGAGGGGTAATGGGTCCCCAGGAGGCTGAGAACTGCAGGGACTAACTAGCACGGGGCAGGTGGGTCCCCAGGTAGCTGTGGGAGGAGAGGCAAAACGAGTGCTGACCTGGCTCGGGGCCTCTCCTCGGGGCGCCCTCTCTTCTCCTTCTGGCTGGGTCTCCTCGTGGGCTCTGTGCTTTGTGACTGTTTTGCTGCCTTCTTTGCCTACAGTGGCCAGAGGGAGGGCTGGAATGGCGGGCAGTGGGGGCTCTCCTCCTTAGAGATAGTCTGACACTTCCCGCCACCACCTCTGCACTGCTGGGAACTGGTGCAACAGGCAGGATGGGAAGGAAGAAGGACTCTGGTGTCCAGTCCGTCCCCAGGCAACGGCTTCTCAGACCCTAAAAGGACCACTCCCTCGGTGGGTGGGGCAGCCCCACCGCACACACTTCTCCTGTGGCAGGGGTCTTGGTCCCCGTTTTGTGATCAAAGGAAGAGAGACAGGGAGAGAACAGACTATTGCCCTGCTTCCCCGTCCTCCCATCACATAGGGCACCATCTAGGAGGTGACAGGCCTGGAAAGGCATACTCAGATTCAGGCAGGCTGCAAGGACCAGAGAGCAGGAAGCGGACAGGCCTGTCGGACACTAGGGCACCTGATGGTCACCGCCAAGTCATCAGAGGCCTCCTACCTACTTGTCGCTCACTCAGACTCCCTCCCTCCCTCCGCGCAGCAGCCAGAGGGCACCTGTGAGCACCTGCGTCAACTCCTGCTCCTCTGCCCATTGCCCTCTAGGGCTCTTACTCACTGAGGTAAAAGCCCAAGTCCTCACCCCGATTCCCAAGGCCCCCACACAATCTGCCCTGCACCCTTCTTTCCCTCCCCTCCTCCCTCTTTCTTCCTCACCCACTCTGCTCCAGCCACACAAGCCTCCTGGCTAGTCCCCCAACACATCGGGCCTAGTGCTGCCCCAGGACATTTGCACAGACTATGCCTTCTGCCTAGAGAGCTATTCCCCGAGTACCTTCCTACACCACCTCTCATTTCATTCCAATCCTTATTTAATGACACCTTCTCAACTAAAGCCTTTAGGATTTACCCTACCTAAAACAGAAAACCTCACCCGACAGCTCCTGCCCTCGGACCCTGCATTCTTGTCCTTAGCAATGAACACTTTGGAATGCATCTCAGGTTGTTTCCCACACCCTGGGCCACAGCACAGCACCCAGCATGCAGTTGGTGCTCACTGAATGTGTGGAGTCAGGAACGGACTTGCTGGAAGGGGTGGGCGTGAGGAAGAAGCACCTCGGTCACCAGATCCTCCCCAAGAGCCCAGGACACACCCCGATGGTACGCACCTCTCTCTGCAGCTCAGCCTCGGGCCCCGAGTCGGAGGAGGACTGTGGTCCTCGCCCCCGGCCCTTGCGGCCACGCTTCCTGACGGGCTCATCCTCGTCCCCAAGCTCATCCCCGCTGCTGCCCCCGCTGCCCCCAGGTGGGGCCTCCCCGCGCTCGCGCTCGCGTCTCCGCTCCTTCTCCTCCTTCTCCTGCTCGCGGAGCCGCCGCAGCTCCTCCTCCTGCTCCCGGCGC